TGTACGTCAGGGACAATGTCACCTTCAAACCAAGGACGGATTTGGATTTTTGTACTTCAACTATAGATACTGTTTTTATTGAAATCGTAAAGGAAGGGAAGAATTTAATCGTTGGAACTGTATACAAATCTCCCGATACTTGTGGTGCAGAGTTTAATGACCATCTTGAAGAATGTCTTGGTAAAGTGAACAAAGAGAATAAACAATGTTATATTGCTGGAGACTTTAACTTTGATTTACTTAGTTACGCCCTTCATTCGGATACCAATGCATTTATCGATACAATGTACTCCTCCTCTTTTCTCCCACTTATCACGAAACCAACCCGTGTAACTACTAACTCTTCTACTTGTATTGACAACATCTTTACAAATGTTTTGAATAAGCCAATCCTGCCTGGTATTTTGTATTCAGATGTGTCTGATCACTTTCCAATCTTTCAAGTAACGAACTCTTTACCACCAAATTACCACACCCACTTGAATAGGAACAATGCGAGCCAAGTTAAACTCCGAATAGACTTTAACTCATTGTGTGAAGATTTAGCATTGTATGATTGGTCTTTGGTAACATCCAAAACCAATGTCAACGAAGCTTACGATACCTTTATTCAAGATTTTAAACAGATGATTTCAAAGCATTCGAAAACAATACCTGGTAAGGATAGACGTAGATCATCCAAAAAACCATGGATTACGAAAGGCATTCTCAAATCTATTGGTAGAAAGGAACGCTTGTATAAGCGGTATTTAAAACTGAAAAACCCCTCCGTGAAGAAAAAGTACACATCTTTCAAAAATAGGCTTACTCACATTATACGTGTCTCCAAAAAGAACTACTTTGCTGAAAAGCTTGAATCAAATCGCCATGATTTAAAGAACACTTGGAAAACTCTGAACAACCTGCTTGGTAAAGATAGTAAATCGAAATTACCCTCATTCATTCGTAAGGATGGTGTAAGGCTTACTGAACCAAAAGCAATTGCAAATGCATTTAACTCGTTTTTCGTTAATGCTGGTTGTTTTGATGATCCCCAGACCACCGGATGCTTTCGTGACTATTTGAAAACCAGCGTAACGCATTCTTTGTTTCTTTCACCAACAGATCGAAATGAGATCTTGAAGTTATCTTCTTCCTTGAAAAATAAACACTCATGTGGGGTGGATGATATGTCACCATACGTTATAAAGAAGTTAATTTCCTATATTGTTGAACCTTTAACCCATGTGTTTAATTTATCATTTATGTCTGGAACATTTCCTGATTCGATGAAAGTTTCAAAAGTCATACCTTTATTTAAGAAAGGTGATATACATGATTTATCGAACTATCGCCCAATATCATTGCTTTCGACTTTTTCCAAGATTTTAGAAAGACTAATGTACAATCGATTATCTACTTTCCTTCATAAGCATTCAATTATTTTTTCGGAACAGTTTGGGTTTCGAAAATGTTATTCAACAGAGTCAGCTTTACTTTTTGCATCCGAACTTTTGTACAAATTTTATGAAAAAAAAGAGATAGCTTTAGGAGTGTATGTAGACCTTAGCAAGGCATTCGATTGTTTGGATCACAAAATCTTATTAAGAAAATTAAGTTTTTATGGAATTAGAGGCATTCCATTGGAATGGTTCCAAAGTTATCTGTCTAATAGAACACAATTTGTAAATTATAATGAATCTGACTCTGAATTGCTATTAATGAAGCAAGGTGTTCCTCAAGGTAGTATCTTGGGCCCGTTATTATTTTTGCTCTTCATAAATGACATTGTTGAGTCTTCAAGGAAATTACATTATGTACTGTATGCCGATGACACAAACATCTTCTATTCTGGTAAAAATTTGAAAGACTTAATTTTCGAAGCCAATGTTGAACTTCAAAAGGTTGCTAGCTGGTTTTCATCAAATAAATTAAAAATTAATCAGACCAAAACAAAGTTCATGATATTTAACTTTGGTAAAAAAAATGATACTTTAATTGAAAATGTTAATCTGACAATAGATGGTAACTGTATTGACCAGGTACAATTTGCCAATTTTTTAGGAGTTGCCATTGACAACAAACTTACATGGGCAAAACACATTGAATTAATTTCCAGGAAGATTCGGTCCCAAGTCGGTGTAATGAATAAGCTCAAAAGTTTTCTACCATCCTCTACCATGCTTTCTCTTTACTACACTCTCATATATCCTTACTTAACGTACTGTAATTTAGTTTGGGCGAGAACGTCTAATAATTTATTAAAGCCCCTTATCATACTTCAAAAGCGGGCTGTTCGGTTGTGCTGCAATGCTTCATTCAGGGCGCACACCTCTTCATTATTTAAATCCTTAAATTTACTCAAACTTCCAGATATTCTTTCTCAACGGACTTTATTATTTATGTACAAACTCCAAAATAATTTACTACCAGTAACGTTTTATGACAGTTTTCATTTGAACTCGGATGTCCACTCCTTTAATACAAGAAAAAAAAATGACTTCCATCTACCAAAATTCACTAACTCATTTTTGCAAAATAAATCAATTAGATATCAAGGTCCTCACAAATGGAACTCCATGTCAAGTTATTTAAAGGGTATTAAGAACCAGAACGCATTTAAACTTAAACTGAAAAGAACAATACTTGCCACTTATTGATTTATTGAAATACATAATTGACTCATATATTTTGTTAGCATGAAACATTATTATCATTGTATTGTATTGTATTGTATTGTATCGTATTTCATCTTATTGTATTGTATAGTATCTGTATGTTTTTATGTTTGGGTTGCTTGTTTACAAGTTTTTAACTTATTTTAGCAATCCCGGTATTTATTTATAATGATTTCATTTGTAATGATTTCATTTTGATGTTTTTATCTTTTGCCGAATAAATGTGAATTTGAACGTTTGGGTGGCAGATTTGCCGTGAGCAGGAAGGCGTAGTATTTCGAGCAAGACAACTTAACAAATTTGAATAGTATATGTTTTTCATTCAAAGCATTTTCAGAGCCGAATTTTATGATTTAGCATTTACTCATTATATGCCTCAAAATTCTTTTTCAGAATTTCGGTAGGAACGAGCTCAACCATAATATACTGTAGCAGCAATATTTCAGTTACTATTAAACGAATTAGCATTCATGCATCGGGTTAAAAAAAGTGATTTCTGTTTTCAATGTTCTTATATCAAACTATGTATATGCTGCATATATATTTTGCTCAGAAGTCCCTTCTGAATGCGACTTGACTTATTTGTATCATCCATTGATATGTACAATCTATACAAATTTTTTGATGCTACTGTATTGCTAAAACTGTGTGCGGGGTTGGTTGATAATTAAAGTGGAAAAAGTACGCCCTCTTTGGTATGTTTGTGAAGGATGTTACATGGAGCTTATGTCCCACTTAGCCCCAAGACCATAACATCATAACACCTACATGTATGCATGTGAATATTTATGAAATCTTGGCTAATAGTCGTGGATAACATCATGATACTGATAGTAGTATGCAATACAACTATCTCAATTCACTATGTACAATTTTCTGACTCACATGACCGGTTTCATTACATTTTTTAAGTTCAAGGGAATAATCAACACGGAATCCTGTACAGATTAAGCTAAAGGCCTGTAATTCCTTTTATACAAACAATGGTGAGTGCATACTGCTATCATAAATGGCAATTTTGCAATGTATAAATGCTTGTGCTAAACTTGATAGTTCTCGCATTATCTTAATACGTTTCTGTGAGTTTTCAAACTAAGGTGCTCTCTACATTTGTGAAATAATTACCGTATCTTTTTTTTCCCTCTCATCAATGTAAGGTTAAACGAACTCGAACAAAATGTATTTTAAAGGGATAGGTGAGATCTGCTGAAGAGGACGCTAAGCAAAATAATTTTTTTGTGAGATAATGAAAGACAGAGTATCAAATTTGAAAGAACATAAAACTTAAATGACAAAATCATCTTTGATCAAAATCAGTTCACAGACGGCTGACATATTCATAAATATAACGATTTTTAATATTTGTGTACCACCACAAATATTCGATAATTTGAAAAAGCCGTTGAAAAAGCGAAATAGCGCCTTTTACGTTGTATTTCACCCAATGCCGATGTTGGATGTATGTATATTACGCACAACCAGCCGGTCCATGTATTGTAATTATTAATTAATTAATTAACGGTCACCGTATTTTTGGGAAAGTAGAGCTAAATGGGTATGATCGTATTGGCTGAATTTTACACATTTTGGGGTCTAAAATTACCTTTATAGCAATTTTAGGTCCCAAAAGGGGACTAGAAATGTCATAGATAAAATAAGAGCAATAAGCATGCACTTTGAAGGCATTTGCAGTCTGAAAACAGAACTCAACTATCCCTTTAAGCTATCTGTGAAGCTTGACATCCATGAGAAGATGATTAACCTAGCCCCAAAGACATTTTCATCAGCATGGCTAAATAAATAGGAAACTAAATTTACAACTCCAATAAAGGACAGAAACATACGGTTTCTTATTCATACAATGCATTACATTTTGTTCTTCGGTAAATCTTTCACAAAACGGTGGTAGAATAGTGAAGTGAAAATTTAAAGAAATATTATGCTTGGTATCTCCAAATCCTCCATTCATCTGTAAGGGATCCGGTTATAATTATAACTAAAAAGATTTATCAAGGATTTCTTTCACAAAGTTAGTTTGCATTAATGAGGGAACAAAGCCACTGCTCATTTCTAACCAGGTCGTGTGGGGTTTATTAGCAGCTTGAGCAAAGTACAGTATTAAGTGATCACGCTTCTGCGTCTCTTTGAGGCTCTTTTGCACCGTCCAGCACATAATCCTATGAAGAAATCCCTACTCTTTGTCAAACAACTCCTTAACCTCTGCATTCGTTTTCATTGAAGTTTTCATTTGAATGATGAGGTCAGTTAAATTGATTAATGCAAATAATGTATATGCGAGCGATTGGCTACAACCTTTTTTTGATTTTACCTCACCGTTTGAGAAATAAATGGGAAATATATTAAATGCTATGTTTGTAAACCATTATTTTTGTTTTAGAAGGTTATGTGTTATACGCGACCGCTTATGAATTCGCGGAGTGACCTTGAATATTGATAAAAAGCCTCTGTCACAGAGAGACACATTATAGCGCATGGTTACTTAATCTATGTACTGTGTTTTGCTCAAGCTGATTAGTTAGTCGGAGATCTGCGGGGTATTTTTCCTTTTTAGAACACTTCTTTAGAATGTACAGTCTAAATCAAATATCAGCTCATATTTTCATCTCCTTCTGAAACCTTAGCGTGACGACACGTGACGTTGATTCCTTCTTGAAACCCTACTTGTCACGTGACTGAAGAGAGCGATGCTTGTCCTGTTGACCAGCAGCCCAACACTCTGAAGAGAGAACCTCTTTGTGTTTGCGATTCCTCTTCCCTTTCGACAGCACTACCTCCAGATGATCCCGCATCTCGGTGAAGCTCAACCATTTACTTCGTCTTTGCTGAACAGGATCTGCAGAACTCGCGGGTCTTGTCTCTTGATCTGAACGTCCTTGCCTTGATTCTGTCCACTCTGTACGAATAGTACCCCGATTCAGTGGTCCTTCAGCATCTTCCGCATCGGATATGTTAAGCTCTATGTCGTCAAAGCTAGGGCCGATGATAGTCGTGGAAGGCATCTCGGTCTGACGAGTCTTCATCGTATCCTCCCGCTTACTGGAGCTAGCGATTGAGATGCTGCGTCGCTTCGAGGATCTCCCGCAGCCGCAAAGCCTGCTCAGCTCGGCCCGAACGACGCGCTGACGGAGACAGTAGATGACGAATATGAAGAACCCCTGGAAGGAGTTGAGGATGATGAAGATGATCTGGAAGACCTGGTTGAAGGCGGTGCCGATGAGGAGGAAATACCCCGATGACCAGGTCAGACCTAGGAGGAGAAAGATGCAGATGGCCTTCTGTAAGCGTTGTTGGCCCTCCTTGGCACGCAGGATGATACTATCCCTTTTGGTTGATGAACTCCGGATTGTTCGTCCCAGTCGAATGATCACCAAGGTGAAGATGATGATGTTAGCGATGATGATGACGCCAATAGGACATAGCAAACCACCGATCTTAGGCATCTTAGCGAGGAAACACCTAAGAGATGTAGAACAAAAAATAAATAAAATTGAAACTAGTGGGGGCATTGCTGTATTTGTGTTAAGACTATGGACTCCCATATGAGATATCGATCCTTTCGTAATATTCGAACAAAATTTTAATGTAGAAAGTACGAAACAAAAAAGCGGCACTGTCCAATTTATTACGCATTATTATTCCTGCATTAAAACCGGTTTCACGCCAAAAGCTTCAAGATAGAGGGTGGTTATTATAACATGCCTACTCATCCATGCATATAAAGGCAATGGTGAGAAAGTTAGGAGTAAACGGAGGGTCAGATAAGTAACAACAAGAGGAGGGACTATTAATATGCATGTCAGTGTCATATATTATTTGGAACTGAAGTAACATGTTAAGTATGCTTTCAAACACAATTTGATACTATGATCAGACCAGGAGGATGACTCATGGAACATCGCACGTTGCTTGTTGCTCGTGTTTCGTAGTTTTTTATCATAGTTTTTTTTTTTTTTTTTTTTATCTCCTTACATACTGTTTCCTTTAAGAAAAAGAACAACAGTTACATAAAATGGTCTGCGGCCAAACAGTAAATAACTTGTAGGTATATTGTAAAACTCGAAGATGAACTTACAAATTCGGGTCAACATAATTGTGGCGAGCAATTCCCCCAGTAATGGCTACGGCGATGACTGGTATTCCTGTTTTGAAATAAATAAAAGAAAAAGGCATGATATTTTGGATGCTCTGAACCAGGTAAGGCTGGTGGACAACGATATGAATAACACAAAATCCAGAAAGAAAAAAAGGGGAATTAAACTGATGGAATAGAAGAACCATAAGCAGAATGAACATGGGATTAAAAGAATACTCACAAAGGAGAAAGAATTTTTTAAAATTCCAAATAACAATTTGGTTTAATCTTAATTTTCATGTATAATAAATCGAATTCATAACAAATCTTAGAAGTAAACAATAAAGGAGATTATCAAAATATAGAGAATTGATAATAAGCAAATATTAATCGACTACGAGGGTAATGGTACAAACTATCATCACCGAGGCGATGATAGTTTGTATCCATTTATTGCCTGAGTAAAGGAGGTTAATATTTGTTTTATATCCCACATCGGCAATAAGGTCTATTTAAAGTGAATTTTGCATGATAAACAACTGATTCTGCAGACAGTTTAGCTTCAGCTAGATTTTACAAAGCACAACATGCATACATGTAATAAAGTCGATGCGCGCTCATTTGACATTGACATTGACATTGTCATTTCGCGTAACCTACTTTGCTATGCTTATCCAATGGGCAAGGGTGGGCAAGTGGGGTAGCAGCAAAACATTACGGTACAAAAGTCATATCGCAGGGAGATAGTACTTATATCATTGATCATGTGACCTCGTTTAGACCAATCTGATTGCAAGATTCTAAGTATGCGGGATATAACAGAAATTATCTTGTAATAAAATCAGAAATCTTCAGAAATAGTAGATGTGTATCAAAAGATGTTGAAGGTCTGAAGGAGGAGAAATTACCCCAAGCAATGAGCGAAGCTTTGGTTATGAATCCGGGAATCCTTGCATTTAACACCCTCACGAAGAGCAGATACATGTTGACGCCCTCAACGGCCATCCACACAAGAGAAGTCAGCGTGAAATACTGAATCATTGCAGCCAGACAATGACACCATATCTCAACGTCCTTCTCGACGTCTATGTCGTCATTGGATTCAGCTACGTCGATTCGTTTTCGGGTGAATATGACGACCAGGATATAGGCGATGTACAGGAAGAGGAGAGACAGACAGATGTTCATGAAGATCTGATTGGGTTGCTTCTGTCGCAGTTTCCTGATATTGGAAAGAATATCTTTTTGCAATTAATGTTATTTTGGTGAAGTAATTAATAATAACTTTCATATAAGTGTTCTAATCAATAAGGGAGTTTACAGATAGCACATGGTACAAATGACCCCAAATATCCACAGATCTTTTACACATGGAGAAATTCCACTTTGAGCATATTAGAATAATAACTGCCAAAGTCCTAGATGTGCTTCATGAATACCTTTTGTTTGCTCTCTTGAAAAGAATACTTCCACCTGCGTATCATAGAATGTACCGTTGGTGCATAAATGAATAATGTTACATAACTTTCATGAGCGCATATCCAGTATTCATCTCAGTGGGTTTTTACCTTTTTGGTACAAATGACCTTCATCTGCCCATGCGCAGATTGTATCTGTAAACTCCCGTATTGATATCAAACAAAATGATGCATGAAGATAACTTGGAAATAGTGTGGTAATTGATGTAACCATACTCATGCCAATTTTTCTTAAGAAGATGAGGAAAAAGTGATATGTGAGATATGAGATAAGAGGAGTATGTGAAGATGTCGGTCAAGACGCGACTTGTAAATTAATATCTTTGAAACACATTGACTGAAAACTCTGAGGTTTATTTAGTGTCGATATACATTGCTTAGTCTTATTTCTAACATTCGTGTATTGTATTATCGAAAGGCCAAGATGGCCCTCTTCTCAACAGGAAGTCTTGGAAAATGAAAGATGAATATGAGACAAGTTGAGGACGAGTACGATACTTTCCCAGGTAATATGATACCTCCTTTTCCTCTCGGAAGTAGGCCTATCATGGACCCTTGATTGTTTATCATATTAACAGAAAATCACAACCCTTCTGCGATTCATGGATATTTGATCTGATTGAAACATCATAACAGGGTTTGTGATATTGATACTCAACGCCGAAACATGCAAGTATGTGCACTTTTACTACCCCCCCCCCCCACCACTACCACCACCAAGACCAACACCACCACCCCTAAAGAGGGGGGGGGGGGGAGTAAATGCAATATTGGTAAACAAATGAGAAGAAAGAAAATATATTTTAATGCAAAGGGGGACACTTTGAAGCACCTATGGTAGTAAAGATAGCAATGTATTTCCCTTACTATATCAAATTTGACACAACAAACAAACAAGCAAGCATTAAAAAACAGGAAAGGGCGAGCGGATAACAGATGGGTAAAGCCTCGGTCACAAGTGCCATTACGAACTGCTACGAACGCCGTACGAACGATTTTCAGACAATGGAAATTCGGGAAAACAATGGAAAAACAGGGAGATTCGTACGAAATTATCGTTCGTACGAACCTTTGTAACCGTAGTATAAGCGATTTCGTGACTCCAAAATTGTGTATACCCCTAACAATACGTGCAATTTATCGATGCCGGAAACACTTCAATCTGATTGAAATATAGTTATTATTTGTACTTGGGCGGTTTTAATTTGATATTTATGATCTATACAGTACTTCAAGAGTTTGATAAAGTATCGATACAGTAAGTTGTTATTTTCATAAATAGTGACATTGATGAGTACTCACGGTGAAAGTACATAAACGGCCAAAGTCATGATCAGACTGACAATAGATAGTCCACAACCAATGTAACTCAGGTACTTTGAAGCCCTTTTGAAGTGCACAGATGGTTCGGGGCTGTGGAAATTCTGAGATGTCAAATACAATAACATACATGTAAATAAAGTGAATCAGCGAAAAAGGAAGAAGCTAAGACAAAAGAGAATAATTAACATATAAATATGAAGAGAAGGCAATCGTTGGTATATGCAAAATCCTGGTCACATGTGCTCTTTCAACCAATCATTTGACAAGGATGCTAGGATTAACAGTTATCTCTTAAAGCAACTCTAAAGTGTTGGGAGTCCCAAATTAATAAACAAAAAAATTTACGGCCCCAAGCTTTGGAATGGCCTCCCTATCCTATCCCTATCATAGAATCAACTTTACAATATTCGTTCAAGCGCAAGCTGAAACGTCATCTCCTAAGCAATTACGCTATACTGGTAGAAGAAGCATGATGACCTTTTAAAAATATTGTCGATATTCAAACTGAATGTTCCTTGTTTTGTTGCTGCTGTTGCCTCGAGCCTGGTGACGGGCAGTTGCATTCGCCTGTTCGGGAATGTGTTAGTTTGCAACAAAAATGGAGAAACGCGCATTTTGTTGAAAATCATGTGGTATCATGAACATTTATAAATGACTTGTAATATTGTATGGAATTGAAAATAAGTTATGATTTAATTTTATTTTGGGAAGCGCCCCCCCCCCCTCCAGTACGCCAGTGCCTGCTGGGATGTTATTGTGCTTCGATGGCCGGAGTGCATGGTAACGGTGCTTTGTTTGTTGTTAATGTCTGTCCGACCTAGCAGCGACGAGTTATTCGTTTCGCGCTCCTGCTGTTGAGGTTCAGTGCATTACGGTTGATGGATGTGGCAGCTCGTCACCAGACAAACATATTGGCCCGAATTCACATAGGAGGTTTGTCGACAAACCTAGGTTTATGTGCGTCATGATGCGTTTCGACGCGTTTTATTGACTAAATGTGTATCGCAAAAAATGTTCCACTATACCAAGATGTTGACGTCATTGCCAACCAGTTTGTTTGCCAGCGCGGCTACACTTAATCTTTTCTCTTTTTTTTATTTTCATATCAATGTCGCTGTCCAGGTTGAAACTAACTTCTATTGGGTCACCCCCACCATTTCGTCCAATTCCAGAGCAGGGACGTATTGAAATTCGACCGTATTCGACCGAACTCTCTATTCAAAACCCCCGTATTAAGTTCATACACTTCAATATAACTTGCAGCATACAGAGACAAGAGACAGGAGGGCGCTATTTACCATAATAACAGCAAAGTTGGTCGTGTGATTACACATGCACATGATAGCTGTTGAGTTGGTGATGTGTGTAGCATTCTGAAGCAAGGAACATCCATAGTCGGACCAGTCACCAGTCCCGTTGTTGGCTTCAAAGTCCCAAAATACACAGATTGGATCATCTATGATGAGTGAGCCGTTGCTAGTCTATTGATACATTAAAATATTAAACATACGAAAATACATAATAAGTATAATTTGTTTGTATATACTTATATATTGGAACAGCATCCCTCTTTCCATAAGGGAAATTACCTGTCTTGCCACCTTCAAAAGATCCCTCAAAACTTACCTTTTTCCCCAATGATCTATGTGATATACTTCCTGTACTGTAAATGTTTGTCCTCTTTTCATATATTTGTATTTGTAAGCGCTATGGTACTTATTGTTTGTAGCGCTATGGTACTTATTGTTTGTAGTGCTCCTAAATATTCGATATTATTATTATTTATAAAGCGCCTTTTCATTAGATACAAAACGCATAAACAAGGAATACAAATAAATAGAGAACATTATCTTATGAAACTTATATTAATTTTAAAAAAGAGAGGTATACTACCACAAATTAGAAAACTTCTTGAGAGCTGTGAGAGTACAGCCATTCTAATTAGATACATGGGGTTTCACGGGCAAGTGTATGGAGTGTACGTTTTTTTGAATGATATCAGTTGGTGTTGATTTCATTTGGTTTAACGAATTTATTTGTTATACTGTATATTTACCAAAATTAAAGATAAACTCCAGTACTGGTAAAAAAAAAAATTAATTCTCACAGAATCAAACGAAACTTACACTGAATGTTCAAGATTACAAATAAATGACATGTGCCAAACAATTTTGGAAGAAAATGTATACTGGCTGAGTAATGAGCATAGAAAGACAAGGAAATCAAGGTAGTACTAGCCCCGACACCATATGTGTTGTCCCATATATAGCTTTCTATGTGAGTGCTTGTTACTTTACCAAGACTCGGTCAAATTTATTATGATTTTGATGACTCCAGAACCTTGCAGTGCACACCAATACTTACATGCTACATGATCAACTGTTTCTGATCCTTTCCACACCTTTTCTTTCACAATGCAATCGCATTACCAGTACTAAAGTTTGTCTTTAATATCCCAAATAATGATGATCAACATATTTCAAGACAATCAGGTATTTGAGTACCTCAAATATCATACATCCCAACATTGTACTTTGACAGTAACACTTTAATAATTTGCGATCTTGGTGACCATGTTTATCAGTCAAGCCCGCCTTAAATCTATATTTATTTATATTGTATACATATATTTTAAAGCCCGTCTGCACTAGTTTGGCCAGGGAGAGTAGAACTCCCTGCAAGGTAACTGACAGGTGGTTATCTCACCAAATCAGCTCTAAATTAACATAAGAAAAAGGGGACCATGGGGGACCAACAGGCACCGATTAGGGATTGTTTGCTATAGAGGGCGCAAGTAGCTATAAGTAGTGCAGTGGGGCTTTAAGTGTGGGATTTACCAGAATGGGATGGAAAGCGCTGGTAACTTCTGTGTTCATCTTTCTAAGTCCAGACCCTTCGATAGTGACAGAAATCACGGGAGTATTGGGAAGTCGTCTTCCTTTTGGACTACCGTAGGTCCCAGTCCCGTGATCGTAAACATCAGAGATGAACAGGGATGGCTCACGAATCACCGCAAATGTGGTTCTGATGTTCGAGCTCATTGACGCATCGTCGAGGTCGTCTACGAAGTGCGTTTTGACGTTGATCGAGGCTCTGAGGTCATTGGCGTCGATTGGTTCGTCGTGGTTGTACAGTTCGATATCGCTGTCGGTTAGGTGATCATCGACGGTCGATCTCCGCGAGACGAAGGTGATACCTTTTCTGAGAACATCCGGTGTGGTCGCTTGGACCTATAGGTAGGACAAAAGTTGTGCCATGATCAGTTACCAAACGAATATCATTTAGGTGTTAAATATTGTGTTAGTGTTGTTGTGCGTGATTCTGTAAATGAGTTTGTTAGGATTGTAAATATATTAAGTTAGTTCAACTCAAACAAATGCCACAGAGAAATGTATGAAGATAATCAACTCATTTAATATCTGCCGATATTATATATATATATATGTCTGTCTAATGAGTACACCGTTGTTACATCTTAAACGAGTTGGAGACATTTCATGTAAGAAACTATTATCTAAAACATACTTCACGATGTTCACTAGGCCTGTATTCTTGTAGCACAATTTCTGCTCAATTATCCTCATAGTGTCAGTGTTCTATAAAACGTTAACTTATCCCAAAGCAAAATATATTCAGAATCTAGGTACCTGGGATTATCACCACACCTACAAAGTGTAAACACCTTATTGTGTTCATCGGAGCAGCGGCTTTACGGAAAAGAGTATTCTGAGTGGGAGGGATTCTACAAAGTGAATACTATATATCTGTGGTAGATAGTATATTTGCTTTGATAACTCCTATTTCATGTTTTTGTTTTGTTTTTGCTTATGATTGGATGAAGACAAACACTTTGCTGATCTCCTTCCAAGCTTTCAAAACAAAAGGAAGAAAGGACATCATACCCCTTATGAAAATGTAAACGTATATCAAGTTGATTTTATAGTATCTTTGAGAAGATCGATTACAACCCTGGACAAGCATGGATATACTTTTCAAGGAGATCAGATTACGGACATATCCATAAAGATACGACTAAAAATACTCATGATTCTTTTGAGGTTTCTTTTACTTTTTCTAAAAATTAGAATTAATATGAACATTACCTGAACAGCTAGATTCGGTTGAACAGAGGAAAAGGAGCCATTGTTTTTGGTCAAGTCAACCACCTGTAGTTGGTGTTCCAAGGCCAGCATAACCCTACTGCTGGATTGGTTCAAACCCTGGGCTGCAGCTAAAGCTTCCGGGTCAGAGTTCATAAGATTCCCAATGATGGCTACCACACTACTTGTTACCTTAATGTAAAAAGAAAAAAGAAAATAATGAATCGGAAGGAACGATACAAAGTATGATCTGTTAAATCATGAATCTTTACACTTTACAATATTGCTTTTATAAAATGTTAAGAAGCGTTTCTTTTAAAAGAGAATCCAAATATTCCTGATTCTGAAATACTTCTCGCTATCAGAAAGGTTTGGTGAGGTCTCAAGTCTTGCAAGGAAATGTTATAATAATTAGTTTAAAGGACCTCCATTCAGTAACCACAATCAGATGCTAATTCTAATTGTAAATCAAGACGACGCTCACGCGAACAAAGAATATTATTCATTTAAGGGTGCCACTAGGTGAGAAGGGTGCCATACTCAGGCCCCTTTCTAAATCCTGTCGCAAGCCGGGAAAATTGTCGAGACTTTTTTGTTAGGTCACCAAAGAAATATTATAATCTATCCAGGCAATTTATGTAAACATCTGCGTTTGTCTACGCACGTGAATTTTTGGATATAAACCTGTCATCAAATTTGGTCTGGTAGCCCCCACCCTAAGATTATCTAGCGACGCCCCAAATTCCACTATGCGAATAGAAATATTTACCTCTGTATTCGTAGAGTTTAAGGACACCACATTTTCAATGACATTGGCTATGGTTATCACTGCGTCAGTCGTGAAGTCCTCAGATGACAAAGAGTTGACCCCTTCAAGAACTTCATCAACCGTTTCCTCAGTGATATTAGCCTTTGGGAGAAAAAATACTTTGGGTTAGATAACCATAAGGCCTATAAGGCCTATCAAAAAAATGTATTGCCCTTTAGGTGCCAAAACATGGGTCGGTCGGTGGGAAATCTTCTTCTTTTTTCTCCCTCTTTGGGCTGATATTTCTCAGTTTTGAATGCTTTAATATTTTTTTTCTCTAAAAAACGGTCATTGTTTTTTTTTGTTTTTTTGTTTTTTTTTTTTTAAGCCGACCGTAGATTTCAAGATTTTGGGTCGGTCGCAAAGGGCAATACAATTTTGTTTTGTTTAGGCCTAAGCTTCATCGTAACAAACGTTAATTACTCGATCAAAGAAAAAAATATGAACGTTATATGGCTTCATTTTTCTGTGGGAGTTTTTTTTATTTATCTTAAGTGGACTTTGGACTAGTTTAAGGAGCAAATTGTGAAGCACTTTGTTTCTGCGAGGAAGAAATGCTATAGGCCTACCAAAATTATGTCATGTATGTGGATTTGATTTACTTTGGGACAGATCAGCCCTAGGCTAAACTGCAACAATTGTATCAAAGGGCCAGTGCTCGAATTCTTTTTCGCGAAGATTTCAGCAGAGCTTCGTGTTGATTTAAAATACACAAAATGTAAGAATAACAATTATAAACTATCGACATTACTGGACACAACAGCCATCAATAATCAATCGTTGAACTACTCAGTAATCTGTCCACTTTTGATAAATAACGTGATACTCCGAAAGACAGCTTTATCATGATATTACTGCTAGAAACACGATCACAACTATTTCTCGAATAATGAACTCATGGACATTTATAACAAATGACACGTCAATTTATATAACGCAACTACTACATATTTTTTACTACTTAATACAAAGTATCATTTCATTACACTAGTTGTAGCTGAGCCGCCATAGAAAGGCGTTAAAGCATTCAAGGATTTGTTTTCCTACCGGGTACCCACATAGTTAACAACATACTTATTCATACTCCTAGGAAATTTGATGTCTTTCGTGTTTTTCATAACTAAAAAAGGGAGGTGGATTGGTTGAATGAGGGCCTTTGTTGAATACTTTTAGACGACGGTAAGCTTTGATATATCACATTCTCAAGAAACATAAATTGGGACAAATCAATTTGTCACGTACTTCAAAAGTTATAAAAACTTGGTAAGGGTATATAGAAGTAGTTAAGTTGTTCGTATGCCCCAAATAGAAATCAAGCGCAGATTGCGTAATGCGTCATTGTGCAAGGCTATTGAGATCATTTTCGTTGATTTAACGAAAGTACATGTAGTTGCGACCGTATTTAAAGCTGATAAAAAGTTAAAGGTATAGACCAGTATTGGAAACGCCCCAATTTCAAAAAATGAAATGGAAGCTCTCATTACCAATTATGTGAAAGAATATGTTTTGACTAATACATGATGATAACAAATTTGCCGGGAAACCGCCTACTAATTCATATATTTGGTAAATTTGTTTCTCTCATGGTCTGTGAGAGATATAGGGTAGTCCCATATACATATTTCTGTGTATAGTGCTTGTAACTTTACGAAGAATGGGCCAAATTTCTTATCATTTTGATAATTCCAGAACCTTGCAGATGCTAGATGCTAGATGATCAACCTTTTCTGATCGATTCCACAACGTTTCTTTCACAATGCAATCGCATGACCATAACTGGTCTTTACCTTTAAAATAATACTAATAACAATACTATTGTATAGTAATTTAAATATAAATCAGGTAATGGTTATAGTAATCAGGTAATGGCTATAGTAATCAGGTAATGGTTATAGTTAATAATCAGGTAATGATAACTGTAGGCTTAAATTAGTAAGTATAGTTAGTAGTTAAAAAAAAAAAAAAAAAAAAATCTTATGTCACCTTTTCGATGGCTGCGAGATTTTCTTCCTCACGTTTAGTTGAGTCGACAAGCCGGTCCACACATGAACACTGATTGTCAGTGCACTTATACCGGAGATGAGGGTTCCCTTCAAATAAGGTAATGATAAATCGGAAGGAAAATGAAATTCTTTGTCTTGTGAAGAACAAATATCATTTTTTTTATAGCAGGGGCTGTTAAATAATAATGCCCTTTTGAATGAAATTAAAAAGGGATACTTTTTCTTTGTGTATTTAGGGTATTACGAAGACACAAAGAACATCTATAGAGTAACGTCTGTAGAGGATATACCCCGTCGTCTTTAACCAAAAACTTTTGATGATTATTGGCCTCCTTCTGCTTTTGACAATGACAATGAAGGGGACGAAATGTCAATATAAGAATATTATACGTCTCAGGTTTCTTATAACTCTATGTAGAGCCTTTAAAGGCTGTTAGCAGATTCGTCCGATTGTCGTTTGATTTTAAAATGTCCCTGGGTGGGAAAGAAGGTATAGTGCGTGACACCAAGATTAGATGTAGAACATTGGTCAAGTGAACAAACATTCGAACAAACTAAAAATGTGAAATAAGACGGTACATTTCGTTATTGTGTTTGTGTCAAAGTGATTCATGAGGTCTTATACGAACTTACTTTCACAGGTGATTTCATGACATGACGGTTGAGGGTCCGTACTGTTCGGGAAATCGGCAAAACCAATACGTTGTAGGTGAACGCACAGGAATCCGAGTTGGTCACAGGACAGCTCTTTGTCCACGTGCCATCGTACCTCTTTCTGAATTGTCTGCAGATCTGAACCGATCGGGATGTCCTTCAAGTCCAGGGACAGGGAAGTCCCGTGGTCCTGGTCATCAGCGTCATATGGGATGTTGCTGCCCCAGAAGGCCAATTGCCACGAGCCGGTGAAGTTGTACCCATTAACCGCTGTGGCTACTACGATGTTCAGTTCATTGGTTGCAGTGCATTCCATGATGTTGTTTGGGCCGTCAAACCACCAGTCCCCTACAATTGGGTGTTCACCTGTATTGAAAGAACATTAACAGAAAGAGCTTTGAATCCTCAAGATATTGCATGGGTCAAAGTAGGTACATGCGAGTGAAAGGTAAGGTATGGTCTGGTATTTATTCATCAACATATCGCAGCCAATGGCTGAATTGCATGCATGATTTACAGAGATTTGATTGTTTTCTATCACACATATTATTACTTATCTTATCGTATTTTAATGGAATAAGCTTTTTCAATGTTAGTGTATCAAAAAATGCTTTATGAGGAGATACACTGAACATATAAAATAACATGCAGAGCATTGATTAAAAATAATTCTTTTTTTTTCAGCAAACAACCAATGTTGTTCTCACACAATGAAATACCCTATATCTATATTAGTGATAACAAGTAAGCTGAAATTTTACTTCATCTTTAGTATTTATGTTCTGGTATTACAAGATGACTGTTATTCAAATCTTGAAATGTCAGTTCTTAAGGCTTCGCTCTATATCGCTTTTCATCTTCCATCTAGTTTTCCATCATAAATCGAAAATAGAAAGACACACAAAAAGGGGAAGGGTTACAAAGGTCGTAGGGGCGTGTTTCTTGAAATTCCATGTTAGACATTTCAGTATATGGCATGTCTATATAAGTAAATTCTTTTGTATTTTGTTTCATTCAGGACATGACATCTTACCTGGATAAGAGTACACCTGCACAGCATCCCGTCCTCCACAATGGCTTCCGACGTCACCAGAACAGGGTACACCGCACATATCCGGCATTGATCTAGACCACACCCCTTCACAGGGAGGGGTGTTGGCACACCGGCACTCGGTCCCATTGTAGAGACCGGTAAAGTAGAACCCACGACTTGTGCATTCATTCGTACACAGTGATGCAGTCATGTGAGATAGAGAAACGTTGAAGCCTGGTTCGAAACAGCTTACATTAAGGCAGCCGACTGAAGTAAAATCTGTCGGAAGCATACAGGAAGGAAAAAAAGAAGAAAACACTGAGCATCCTACTCTGAAATGCAAATTCAAAATAATAAATTCGATGTAGAAAAATGAATAAATGAATGAATACAAATATTGAAATGAAATAAGATAAACACAAAATATATACAAGTACTTTCCAGAGAAAAAAAGTCACATATGGGGACTTTTTTCAGTTTAATTCTCCAGCCCTAACCCCCTCAAATAATCATCCGGGTTTTATATTCCGCCCACAATGAGCGATAGACACACGTCTCTTAAACTGAAATACGGGGATTCAATGAATACTCTAGTACCCCCCCCCCCCAAACAACAACAACAATAACAATAAAATTATTAAAAAAATAGAGAGGGAAAGAGAGACCGAAGGAGAAGATGTCATATTTGTAATATATTAATATATTCCATTCTGTCTAATTTGACCTGAATCTACATATTTATCTTTATATTGTGTATATAAACAAACACATTTTCATCGTCGACCATACAAACGCTCAAAAGTTATGCTCTTTCTCTGGCTCCTAATTTTTCCATCGTACATATCCATTTTAAGTAGATTATTCTATCTTCCAGACTATTGTAATTTAATGAACTTTAAATCATGTAGAAACATAGTCATCATTCTACAGACTGCAGCTGTGTAGAACAGCTGTACTGTACTGGCACAGCTGCATAAGCAGTGCGATCCATCCACTGTTATTTTTTCCTGTTATCATGTATCTTTTTATTTAGATGTTTTTATATTTGGTAAATAAAATAAAATCAAATATATAAATTAAATAATGTACGGAATTGAAATGAATTTTAATGGCCCGAGTTTACCATCAGTTCACTTTAGGCTACATTAATAATGAGGATGGCAAACATTCCTCAAACTGCATACCAGAGTGTTATTCCTAAACTATATAAATAGAAATGAAGTTTAATTTGAATTTTATTTAATAATAAGAAGTACTAAGTCAAAAGAAATTGGCATATCCCGGGTGTTCAGGCAGTGGAATCCCGCAAAGAATTTCGAAGTGGTGTAACATTCAAATGAGGTACACAGCCCTTATAAAAGGCCGGTGTCTCGCTAATTATTCATCCTTCATGTGAAAGCCACAAAGTAGTGGAGGAAGGAGAAGGGAAAACAACATATATGTCTGAAAGAATCATGTCTGAAAGAATCATTATTGTGTGTGTGAAAGAACAACATTAGTCTTTTTTCACCCCTCGCAAATGGTCATTGCATCATTATAGACTTCCAGGATATAAAACATACACGAAGTAAATCTATATTTGTATCTGTGTGAGTACTCCAAATAGCCGTTTGTTAAAATAATGATGGAAATAGCGCGTATTATGTATTTGTATCAGAATATATATATATATATATATATATCTATGAAAAGAGAAAATAAGTGATATGACAGCTTCTGTAAAACAGGGAGGAAAGCGAAATGACTGTAAATATACCACCCACCACGATAGGGAGGGAACTCTTCGACTTGTACTTCTTATTATTAAATTGAATTATAATATACTTCATTTTTTATTTGTATAGTTTAGTAACACTCGTACAAGTCACAATCAAAGCAGCGCAGCCAATCACAGGAGATGACATGTTTCCAAAGATTGGAAGTCGTTTCATTTCATCTATTTCATGATGTTTATGATTTCTCAAGGCATATATTACTTATTTAAATAAAGTTTATTATATTTATAATGTTGATCTCTCTTGGAAAATAATGAAATATACATCAGTTTCTCAATAAGTCTTTACTATTTCACACTTGTAGAAAAGATAAAGATACCTCAAGTCAAAAATATTACGCGAATAAATTACTAAATTGATAATATTTTGCCATTCTGTCTATCATGATATCCTTGTGATTATGGCAAATAAATACAGGTATATTTCTGTCGTCATATGCATAGGAACAGTACAAGTTACGACGTATACGTAGTGATACCCGTGTAGGCCTACTAAAATTAAAATGTTTAAAAATATCCCCTCACTGAAAAAACATTAAAGAAAACCAATTGTTACCTGGCGCTGATACTCGACCAATCCCTTCAATATGTATGAATGGCACATTTAAGATATATCATTAGTTGTTAATCCGAGATATGATAAGGAATGATAAGTAATCATCATATTAGTTCATTTGAGAACCAAACCACGGTACATGAAGTACATTGATAATGACGTCACTGGCAGCATTAATCAAAAATATGCCTAATTTGTCATGCCATTAAGAATGGTTCATCAAACGAATTAATATGATATTATCATTAGCAAACCTTTATTCAATCTAGAAAAGTTTCCTGACAGCTGATTCAAGGTATAGGTAAATATCGTTAAAATGCCGATGAAGTTGATGCACAAAGACAATTCGGAATAACCATTTTAACATCTCATCTGAAGGGTTGCTTGATTTTTGTTTAATCAAATAATTTATTTGGTGAAAGAAACAATGGAAAGCATGTAAAAAGGAGCTTTCAAACATGGTTTTGTTTTAAGAGTTTCGGTATTGAGAAAGAGAGATATGGTTCCTAGGGCACCTATAATACTCATGGATTGATACTATACAAACTTGAGGCTGTGTAAGATACGACGAGGATTAACTTATAATACTGATGAATTATGTTGAACATATTAAAATAGTTTGGAAGAGTTCAACAAATCTGATATCCAAGTAGGTAAAAGTTTGGATTTGATGAGCTAATATTTCGTTAATAAAAAATCCGTTGAATCGAGTATTTTTTGTTTTTAATTAGCAAACCATTGGGTAGAAAATGTAGTGTTACACAGCTATAATTTTCTTATACCTGCATCAATTCCGGGTTTTTGTTGTTGTTGTTGTTGATGCTTTTGTTGTTGTTGTTGTTGCCGCCTACAATTTACAAAAGGAGCGTTGAAGGTAAAACAATAATGATGATATTTAGAGTTATATCTGTAAATGTACATTGCCATCCAATTACATCAAGAAAAGAATATTCAAATTTACGCTGTCACGGTTGTTTTTGTCGTAACAAACACATTGAAAAAAAAAAACAAATTTGTATCGCTGGTGATTCGATTAAAAATGTTGATCATGATAACTATGAGGTTAGGTGGAATAGGTAAACGAACTTACTTTGTCATCTAACGGTTAATTTCCGATCTGGAATTCCACTGGGAAGTGGCAAATACGCCATTAGCATTGAACTGTTAAAACTTTTAAACAATGGGCACATGTCTTACACAACGCATCCGAGAAACGTTCGATGGCAGCGGATATTTGTTTTCTTTCGCTCTAGAATACCAAAATGTATTAGATTGAGTATTGCACGAGCGTTGTGTAATATAATATCTTTTTATGCAAAGTTTGATAAACTTTCTTGATTATGTGTTCATTTATCGTCCCCAAAACCTGTTTGTTAGAGAGCAAACTGAGTGGGAAAAAATTGTCGGCTTTTTCGTTTCTTAAAGGTAAAGACCAGTTATGGTTATGCGATTGCATTGCAAAAGAAACATTGTGGAATCGATCAGAAAAGGTTGATCATCTAGCATATAACTATTGGTGTGTACTGCAAGGTTCTGGAATCATCAAAATGATAAGAAATGTGGCCCAATCTTCGTAAAGTTACAAGTACTGTACACAGAAAGATGTATATGGGACTATACGCACACATGCGCGAAACGTGCGTTTATCTCTCACAGACCATGTAGATAAACTAATTTACCAAATATATCAATTAGTAGGCGGTTTCCCGGCAAAATTGTTATCATCATGTATTAGTCAAAACATATTCTTTTACATGATTGGTAATAAGAGCTTCCATTTCATTTTTTGAAATTGGGGCCTTTCCAATACTGGTCTTTACCTTTAATGCAGGATTTTTAACTTTAATAATTGAGAATAGTGGTCTTTTCACACAAATTATCGAAAATATAACTGTTGGCCATGTCTATTTTTTAAGTTAGATTTAATGTTGTCCTTAATCTTGCCTATCTTTCACTATAAACCATACAAGGAGAATGTCGTAATGACCAATGTTTCAAATTCTGTACATGTCGTAATAGAATTAATTTATTGTGGCACGTAATTAATCATAGGCCTCAATCACTGTACTTGATAGGTCATTAACCAGCCAAAGTTTATATTACATCCCCTCGGTCAAATATGTTTATTATTCCAACAATAAACGCCAACCATTAATAACCTTTTCAGCACACGGCCTAAAAGGAAACTTGTGTGTACTCACACCTCGCTCCAAGTTGAGGTATTTAACTACTTATCATTGTTTGAGTTTCATTCACCCTGTCATATTTCCATTCCTGTTAATATGAAAAAACATGATTTCTCCCTCTAAATTCGTATCTTTCATGATTTCGAGTAAAAACTTTGAAAAATATTTACAGCTGGAAATGACATAAAGTGAAACCTCTCTCCCCCTGTAGGCAGAATGTTAAATTACACCCACTGTTTGATTTTGGGGAAGTACTAAAACACGCACACACTGTTTTCATAAAGTTGAATTAACTGTTTCACCGTGGGAATTTAGAATCTGAGTAACAGGATATCGATTGTAACTACAGCAATTTGATGCCTGTCGTCTGAGTATTCGTAAAAATAGAACCAAAGAGGGGTCAACATTTTACTTTATATACTTTGCCCTCGAATCCGGAATATTCAAAAAAAATTCTCCCAATATATTGCAAAAAATATGAAGTTTGCTATCCAGACTTTTTTGTGGTAAATACGAACGATAACAAAAGGCAACAATGTCAAAGTATCATATTGAAAATACCACAAAATATGCAAATTACGATGATAACAATTATCATGTAAGATCACTTCCGAAAACTAAATATAAGTCAACTTTTATAGCCTTTTATGTCGCCGTTTGGAATTATGCAAACACTCCAATAACGCATTACACGACCCGAAATGCTTTTAAAGACATTACATTTGGAAATTGAAATTGCAATTGAGTTGATTTCTTGAAAGTGTCTACGATCGTGTTCAATTTTTAATTTCATTTATTTCCTCAGATTCATAAAAGACAATATAAATTACAATCAAATATAAAAGCATTACAACAAAAGAAGAATCTGCAGAGGGGATGATCAAAAACCACAGAGGTTTATCGGGGATCATCCCCTGCTTAAAATTACAATATCAAAATACAATTAAAAAAAATTAAATTAAACAATAAACACATACACAAACATATATAAATATTACATGCAAATCCATGTGTGGGGTGAGTAGTAGTGGGTTGGTGGTACCAATAAATACAATATATAGAGGAAATGAATGATATACAGGAAAGAAGAAAAAAGAAATAGTGAGAAAAATAGTAAGAAACACCGTACAAACAAAATCTTAAGAGTTGGATACGAAATCAAATATTGTTTCAACTTTGACTTGAAAGAATAAAGTGATGAGAAGCTGACAATATCTTTGGGAAGTGAATTCCATAGTGATGGTCCACTAAAATAATTGGTCCTTTGAAGAAAAGTTGTTTTAACAGAGAGCAAATGAAACTGTTAAAACAATTTTACTGACAATAATAAGAATAATAACGATATAGTGATACCAAGGATGTATACTGAAGACAGATGTGTGGATCATCGTCCTTGCCTTCAACACAATTATCGAAGAAGTTTTTATATTAATATTTATATCGCGTTGCTAGACACAAAATACAAAAATTTAGTCATTTTTCAAACAATGTATACCATTTGAAGATGAAATTTGACGTCATGAGCAAATGATGATTAATTACATTTATCAATCATCATTAGTGAAAAGTTCAAACAATATCTAAATAATATTTGTGATGATAATTACATAAACCATCCTAATGATGCACAGCAAACGTCATTGTTTTTGTTTAAACTTAATTTATAATTAAATTTCGTCTTAAAATATTTCATGTAGATATCCCTCTCTATGTTCCTTTTAAACGGGAGCATTGTTTTGGCTCATCTTTTTTCTTCACTCTCCATTTAAGATAAGCTCGAGTTCTGGTAATGATAGAAAATAAATTCTCACAGAATCCGACAAAACTTACACTGAATGTTCAAGATTACAAATTCATGACAAGTGCAAAACGGTTTTGGTAAAAAATGTACAGGGGCTGAGTAATGAGCAAAGAAAGATAAGGACATCAAGGTAAGTTGGCCCGACATCATGTCCTTTACAAGTACAGGTCACTATGTGCAAATGAGAATTGTGGTTTTATTGAAGATGATTTTCAGCAAGTCTTTGTGAGTTCGTTTTTATTTTAATGATTCAAACAATCAATCTACTGCAGGATACACAATCCAGAATTTATTATAGTCATGTTCTATCGACATTCGATCCCCATACCACAGCTCAAGATTAGCTTTAAACTATTCCTTTCATTAATTTTCAAATTTATATCTTATTTTCCTAAAAACGGCAGTAAAGAATTGGTACTGGTACAATCTCATACGGTGGTATTGAATTGGTTTGGTTTATTGCGAAAACACATCAAACAAGCAGCTCGCAGGCTGAAAATGTTCAATTTACAAACAAATTTAAATTATAAAGAGATATAAACAGATACAAAACTAAAATACATAAAATACATATTATATAGTAAGTCAACTTTTGCAGAAATTATTGATTTTCTTTTTTTATTACACCTTATATTTATTATAAGCAAGTTGCAGAAGAGGAATCCTGTATAAAGAAACTATAAATGGATAAATAAATGAATATATAAAAATATCAAAATATCCTGATTTCTTACTTTGTAATCTGTCCGTGGACGAAGAGCCTTTGAATAGGACGACGATCAGGAGAAACGAAAATACCGTCGAATATTCCATAATTCACATCAGGTAACACTCCTTCATGCACCACTCATAATATATCTTGGTAATCTGTCCGTGCGAGATGTTCAAATTCAAGCAACCTTGACAAGATAACAAGTTTGTTTTCAAAGACAAAACAAAATAGGAGATGGAGATCGAATATAACGAAACTTGAAGAGCGTGAGGTTGGATAATGTAGTTTGCCTTTGAAAGATGTTGAAAATTGTAAATCGATCGAAAAGGAACCAACCGAAAGCTAGGTAAAATCAGCTTACTGCAGTTGCAATAATGTCTAGATGAATTTAGTAATGTTGCAGAAATAGATGGGTGCTTGAAAAATGGCTACCAACACGAACAACAAGCTAGGATGTTGTAAATTCGTTCAAAGAAGCCCCAACGGGATTGAAGTTCAGTTTCCAGCCTGTACACAACCCTTCTGATGGTATTACAGAGGGTTCAGCTTAATGTGCGTGAGAGCCAGAGAGTGTCCATAAATACCTGACATGTCACCGCCTGGCGTTTGACACGCTTGACAGAAGGGAGACGATGCGTTATTTTGACAGAGCAATATGAGATGGCGATGGGCCTGAGCGATTGTCTTTACAAAAGATATTGAATTCAGTTATCATGGCACTCGTAAGCGAAGCATAATAATTATTAAAAAAACATCAATCAAGAGTACGGAGATCGAAAAAACATAAGTTAATGGCAACACGCCAGTTAGCGTGGTTATTGTTCGGTTTAGAGTTAATGCCTAGACATTTGTCATTGCTATTTCAAGGGCATTGTTATGAAGTAAGATAATTATCATTAATTACAATACATGTCTTATTGAATAGAAATACTATTGAGATATAGATGCGTTTAACAACCGATACTGATCATAAATATTGTAAGTGTTTTTTTAATGTAGTATATCAATATAAAATTTGCTTCAAATTGGTAGCTGGTTCCACAGTAAAAGATCTTGGAAAGAGAAGGTCCCAGAGTCGAATTTAATTCGGTACGATAGTGCCTTGAGCATGATCAGTAGGTCGTTACTTCCCAATTATGCATTTGCTCTTTCTCTCTCTCATTCTCTCTCTCTCTCTCTCTCTCTCTCTCTCCCTCTCTCTCTCTCTTTCTCTCTCTCTCTCTCTCTCTCTCTCTCTCTCTCTCTCTCTCTCATTCCCTCTCCCTTTTTATCTTCTATCTCTTTCTAAGAATGTGTTTTTCTGTGTATCTTCATATTCTCTCCCTCTATCAATTTTTTCCCTCCGAGTTATCAGAAATCTCAGCTATTTGAGACAAACGTCTTATGTCATGTTTTCCCTTTACTCAAGCGTTCTTTTTGAATAGCTTTGTTTTCTGATATTTTTGCACTTTTTATGCTCCATAATTTCTCCTCTTTTGTTTTGCACAATCATGTTCATGGCCCCATCTTTCTTTCTTTTTCCTTTCATCCATACAGTTTGGAAACTTTACAAGTGTATGGCTCAAAGTTATCGTAATATATATTTTTTTAAATCATATTTTAAACAATGTTTTTCTCTTATCATGCTTTAAGTTCTAACTTTTAACTTTCAACTTTCGATTTTTAACTAATTACTGGTAGATTTTAACTATAACTTTTTCATTTCTACCTTTTACCTAATAACCTGCAATATTTTGCCGACGCCTTTGTATACATTTTCTTAATTATTATGACGAAGAGATTGTGTGTGTCCGTGTGTGTGTGTGTGTGTGTGTGTGTGGGGGGGGTATGACCGTTAGTCATTTACATGATATGTTAAAATACTAATGGGAAAGAGAATGGGGAATGGAAAATGAACACGAAATACTGTCCCTTTAAGTTTGTGGTATTTTGTCTGTATTCAATAAAAGTAGTTTCCGTTATCAGTCTATATTTTGTTTTCCTATTTTGTTTTATTGTGTATTGTAATATTTTACTACTTACTAATTTGTTTATCAATTTATAATAAGTGTGATAAAAGTCATCTGTTAAATTTAAGTTAATGCTTTTGGATAATATAAATTATTAAAATGGAAGTGTTTTCAAGTGAGTTATGTTATCAGATTTTGTCCTTATAATATTTTACTACTTATTAATTTGTTTATTGTTTTACATTTTATTTTGATTGTATTAAGGCATTCAGGGCTCTTTGTCAAAGCAGTGTTTATGTACTAAAGAGACTTCCCTGTATAAAAACCACATAATAAATAAAAACACTGTGAGATGGATGGAGAAAAAAAAATCATGAAGTTCATAAGTACCATAAATTAAAGCACGATAAACACTGTCATGAAAACAAAGACGTTTGTGACATGGTGCAGTGGTACAAAGGTAGAGAAATAAAGAGAAATATAAGAGAAACGCGATGAAAACCCTGGCATCATGGGGCTCAACTAGTGAATTAATGTTCTCTTTTGAAGAGGTATTGATCTCGTTTATTATATTCATAATTCAAGGATTGTCAATATGAAACCAAAACGATCTTGAAACAGAATCATGACAATTATGGTAGTATAGCAACACATTATGCAAACCACTCCTTGTCAACATTTTTGTCTTGTTTATAATGATAAGCGTGATAAGAGTCATCTATTATACTTGAATGAATGCTTACGGATACTATAAGATATGACAATGCAAATCTTTTTTAAAGTGGGTAAAGACATCAATGTTTTCCTCTCACTTTCGATCATGTAATCCATTTACTTAATCAAACCTTTTAAATGTCGGGAGCACAAGCGTATAAGGTGCTGGGGAGGGCGGGGGGGGGGGGGAGGAGTAGCATCCCTGGGAATTTCCGATATTCTGGCAACCACCACCTCAAAAACACTCTGAACTCTTGTATTCTTAAAGAGAACAAGTTTATAGGAATGTGCTCATTATATAAACGACTGGTAAAATATATAAGCAAAAGAAAAGCTTGGCGTACTAAAGAAAGAAAATCTGATACGTTAGAGCTAAAACGGTCATGAAAGGCAAAGAAAGATCATAAAGAAAGAAGAAAAAACATGGAGTGTATCAATGATGACCTCGCACTTACTTACACGCTTTTTAATTTAAATGGAAACAAGAATATTTTTGAAAGACTTATTAATGCCATAAGTTATCCATGCATACCAACCTTCATCCGTTCTGTTCAATATTTCAAGACATCTCACAAAATGAATGTAGGTCAAATGTATTATCTGGTTGTTCACGTATCAGTTTTCAAGCCGACTTTCTATGATTTTTTTAACTGACATTTATACTTTGAAATCAATAATTACGCTCAGGCAGTGGGGGTAGCTTGAGTCCTCACGTTGTTGGGGCACGGGGGCGATTGTGGGAGGGGGCATGTCCCCCCCCCCCCGTACACATTTACCACTGCACGTAGACTGTTCATTGGAAATAAAGGAAACAGATCACAGTAGGGGATTTAAATTATCTTCCTCACTTTTCATTTTCTTCATTCTGAATTATAAGTCTCTACAACATTAACAAGGAAATGTTATTAGAGTAACATTTATCACAAATATTTAATGAAATAAACCTGTTTACACTCAGGGTGAGTTTTAGTGAAACAATATACCAACTGCGAATTATTATATTTCTGTAATTTAAAGTAATAAGCATCTGAGAAACAAATGAAACTTATACTACGTGGCAGTAACATTTCCCTTGCTTTGAAAATCACGTCTAATATTTGCAAAGTGAACTTCAAGTGCACATTATTGAACGTGGTGTAGGATTATACTTCCTGGGAATTATAATTATGATCAGAAAAATTAATTATAATTACGATACCTGGCGTTTATGGAAAACAAAACAGGTACATTTCCCGTCATATTAGTACAAAAGAAGCATTCGGTAAAATGATATCCGTGAGAAATTTTGTTTGTCTTTTGCATCTTCTGACGTTAGGAAAACATGCCATCAGGATATGAAATTGTTAGGGGCAAAAAAGGGACTCGTTGTTGGTACATAGCCGTGGGCGTTTTTTCTCCTTCTACAAGAACAGTCTGTTAGCATATAATTCCTTGCTCTCATTAAGATAAGTTGTCTGTATAGATATCTTTACGATTACAATGGGGTTGATTAATTTTCGTCATTTTAAGAACTCAGTGTAATATTTAAACGTATAAGGCCTATTTAACTTTTGAAAAACACATACTGAAGAAAAAATGATATGGATGACAAGCCTGTATTCCACCTTTTTACCCTAGACATTTCGGCCTTTTACAACAGTGTGGATAAACATGTTTAAAGAATATCCTACCCGGAGCGTCAGTGTACTAGGAAGTCTATATTGTACAGTTTTGATCATGGGAAACATTTACTGTCCCAACGAGGGTATGAAAATGTTTCGAAATACAAACATTTTCCTGGAGAAATACCAAGCATTCCAGTTTCCCCTGTATTATATCGTAGAGTTCACATATAGTCACAGGATGCCAAGATTCCCACGTTTATTCCTTAAAGATGAAGTTGAGTTCTGGTCATGCGATTGCATTGTGAAAGAAACGGTGTGGAACCGACCAGAAAAGGTTGATCATCTAGCATATAAGAATTTGTGTGTATTGCAAGGTTCTGGAATCATCAAAATGATAAGAAATTTGGCCAAGTCTTGGTAAAGTTACAAACACTTGCACAGAAAGAAGTATATGGGACTACACGAACACGTGGCGTAAAAAGCCGGCCCCCCGATTTTTACGATGTTACATGCATATTTAGAATATGAAGGCATTTGAAGAGCCATGCTTTTCAGGGAACATGTCTTAACTGATGTTCTTCCACACTTGCATAATAAGAGTGAGTAATGCTCACAAATTATTTTTCACCTCTTCCCAGAACTCAACCTTCTCTTTAAACTTCGTCTGGTATTTGAAAATTCATTGGATTTCGAAACTGGCAAAATATTAATGACAGAGCGGAGAAATGTTTTTCAGATGAGTAATCCCTATATCAAAGTAATGCCGTTAGTATATAAAAACATTTCATATTCAATGTTTCTGTCGATGTTTTATCTTGGTTTGGGTGCTTTCGATTCATTCTTCAGCTTTCCCTATTCACACACTTTGGAGTAAATTTTATCCAGCTTTTATTTTTAAGTCATACGCAGACCAAGTGCTTGATCAATAATCTTTTTAATTTTAATTTTATTTCTTTCTTTTAGGCCGGGGGCGGGCTTCTGGTGGCGGTTCTTCAATCATATTCTATATTTATATTTGACTGAGACCGCTGGGTATCACTATGAACAGTACCCCAGTCACTCCGATATTACCGCCATCCAGCCTGGGCGTACGCAGGGGGGGGGGGGGGGGGGGGGGGGGTTAAAATTTGAAAATTGCACCGAAAATTTCGCAACGACTCAGCCAGCCGGGGGGGGGGGTACATTTTTTTGGTCACCTTTTAGCACAAAACAAAACAAAACGTCTTTTTATTTTTTTTAATTATGATATTATAATTATTATACCACAAATGGGCAATATTTTGTGTATAGGATATCGGTCAGTTTGGCAGCATGAGGGGAATATTAAGGGTTTTAACACAATTGACTTTATTCATCAAAAATAACATTAACAAACAGAAAAGTTTAGCACGAAGTTTAATTCTAAAAGAGAAGAGATGATTGCTCATTATGCCAAGGAAATCCACACCCACCATGTATCTCTCTTTCTCTCTTCTCACACACACACTTCCTCTATCTATCAAACTTTCTCTCTCTCTCTCTCTCCCTCTCTCTCTATTTCACTACCTTCTCCATTTGTTTGTCAGTCTTAGTCTCCGTACTATTTATTCCTCTTCCCCCAAATCCATGTGTTCCTTCTCTGCTTCATCTCTCTCTCTACTTTCACCCCTCCCCCTCCCCCTCTCTCTCTCTCTCTCTCTCTCTCTCTCTCTCTCTCTCTCTCTCTCTCATTCATTCCTTCCCCCTCCCTCTCCCCCCCTCTCTCTCTCTCTCTCTCTCTCTCTCTTTCCTTCCTTCCTTCCCCTCCCCCCTCTCTCTCTCTCTCTCTCTCCTTCCTTCCTTCCCCCTCCCTATCCCCCTCTCTCTCTCTCCCTCTCTCTCCCGTTCTTAGTCTCTTTCTCACCCATCTCTCTCTCTCTCTCTCTCTCTCTCTCTCCCTCTCTCTCTCTCTCCCTCCCCCTCTCTCTCTCTCTCTCCCGCTATTAGTCTCTTTCTCACCCCTCTCCCTCGTCCCCCCTCTCTCTCTCTCTCTCTCTCCATTCTGTAATGATATATCCTAGAGCATGTACATGTACGCCTGTTTACTTTTCATCGAAACCATGTTATTATCAATGTGATGCTGTACAAACAAATCATAAGAGCAACAATGATATTGGAGTTCGAAAACCAGGTTGACATTTGGATTAAAAAATAACAATATGAAGAACAAAAAACGCCGATTTCATGTCGATTTAAAATTAGCTCATCTTTTTCTAGAATAATACACTTTATTACAATTCTTATAGAACATGATTTCAATATTACATTTGTAAATTTGAAATGATTCTTTACTTTTCACATAATTATCAAGACACCATCATAATGTGTTTATGGGAAATTAAGAACAATAATAAAATGACGCAAGGTCAGTGTACCCTTTTCAGTAACGAGTTTCAGTTGATGAAAGCGAGAGAGAGAGAGAGAGAGAAAGAAAGAGAGAGAGAGAGAGAAGAGAGAAAGAGAGAGAGAGAGAGAGAAAGAAAGAAAGAAAGAGAGAGAGAGAGAGAGAGAGAGAGAGAGAGAGAAGGGGGGGGGGTAAAATATCAAAGGCCACATGTCAGTGTTGTATTCTGTTTACGAGAAGCTCCGTAGTGATATTTATTTGCATATATTTCACAGATACATACATATATATAACGATCATATACTGATCATTCAGATCAGACCTACGACAGACTAGGACTTGGTACCAGTGGGGTTTCAGTTGATTTTTCTCAGTAGCGCAAAAAAACATCAGTTCGTTGATAATCTAGGTTTTAACTGTGAACTGAGAATATTGCTTTTAGAACAATCCTCCACATTTTCTGGAAGCAATATCGTATCAACTTATTTGAATAAATTATTGATTTTCGTGGATTTTCGTTGTATCTCAATTTTACACATACACGACAGACTAGGACTTGATACCAGTGGGGTTTTAGTGGGGTTTCAGTGGACTTTTCTCAGTAGCGCAAAAAAAACATCAGTTCGTGGATAATCTAGGTTTTAACTGTGAACTGAGAATACTGCTTTTAGAAAAATCCTCCACATTTTCTGGAAGCAATATCGTATCAACTTATTTAAATAAATTATTGATTTTCGTGGATTTTTTTTTAATCTAAATTTTACACACAGCTTTATAGAGAAGTCATGTATACATTGCGTGAGCCCAATATGGCCCGAAATAATTATTATTTGCCAAAGATTTCATTGATCCGTCTTTGGGTTATGACGAAGAGAATTTGATCATGTCAGATTATTGTTTAGGTTCGTTATTTCTTGACTCGTCCCTCTGCCGTGTATGCTATGGTAACAGCCCGCCTGTGTCATTTTGCACGTCCGTGTCCGCAGCTACGGTCGGGTAGTAAGCCAACCTCTACTATTCGTACGTCCTTCTTACGATGGCCGTACGATGTCTTTAATACGGCTCCGACTAGGTAGAAGACCTCAAGTAATCCGTGAAATGCTTGCAGGAAGCCCTTGCGCGGTTTGCACCGAAGTACAACGACTGCCTAGGTCTCGTGCGCTCATTAAAAAAACGTATACCCACACGCAGAGGATATTGGATATGTCGAGAGAAAAAACAAACTCTTGCAGGCGATTGAGTGTTCTGCTGCCTTAAAAAGAAAACGTGCAGACCCGTGAGTCCTATGCAAGGATTTCCTCCGAAATCCGTCGTAGAGCAGACGTAGAGAAGTGCACGGCCGGTTTTGACCACGGTCTTACAAATATATCCCTTTGCTCATTTGATTTATAACATACAACAGGTATCATTCACTTGCGTGAATTTTAATAAAGAAAACTCACAATGTTAGACATTACGCGCTCCAAAAGAAGAGGAGCCGTTTTTCGTGCAATCTCAATACACCTACGGTCCGGCCATCATGACCCTGATATAATATTTATTTTAATTAATTAAAATTTACTATGAACACATTTCAAAGGAAAATGAAACTGGTTGAAGATTGCATGGAGCTTTCTACAAATGCTTTGGGAAAGGTTAGACAAAGTTAGGAAACTACATGTACTTTTTTCCTGAGTACTAAAGGATACTTTCATGCCGTTTCATTTCCCTTTTTCTTTGCTATTGTTTTTAAATCTGCTTTACTATCAATATTATTGAATAACATACAGCAATCCAAATTATTATCATAGAAAGATCCGTTTTCAGACATGTATTTCCCTTCGTGATTACTCTTTTTTCATTTTCTACCCTGATGGGTAAAAATGGGGAACTGAGATTATGAAACACATTATTCTTTCTCGAAAATATTGAATATGGTGTTGAAAAAGATTCTCTCTAGAAAATTAACGTGCTTTGATAGCATCTGACTTCCATCACAATAAATGACCATGTAATGGTCATGATAGTATATTCCCCGAAACATGAAGATGAAAATACTTTGTTTATATTGTACGTCATATTGTATTTTATAATTGTGCATCTTCTCTTCACTTAATGAAGTTCATGATTACATCTATTTTTCTGAGTAAAAATAAATAAGATAAAATTTAAAATCAAATTCACTCTTTTAGCTTGCCTTGATAATTCCCGACATTTCTCGTATTTTCAGCTCACACTAGGTTTTACTTATCAAAATATACATCGAAACAACATTTCCAATAAGGCACATAGTCATTGAAATATCATAAAGCCTAATCCTATGAATTCAACAAGTCATTAAAACAGAAGATATTGGAAGACGAATCATTCTAATGACACAAAAGAGAGAGAAAATATATTTTTATTAAAAAGTACTCCACCCTGCTTGCGCGCACCATTCATCCAAAAGCTCGTTCGAACGTAAGTTGTGTCACATTGGATGAGAATGCATTTAATATAAATGAATATAATAATGTATAAAATATGATTGAAAGTTCAAAGTTCAACAGCTTCCTCACTGGTCACCCTGTTAGCACCAAATGAATTGAAAAGAACGTCTCGTATCGGCGCATCATCGACTGGTTCGTTGCCTTCGCTTATTGTGTCCGAATCACCTCCGATGTAACTATGATCCCTGACCTCACTTCCGGTCCCGACTGACGTCCCCAAGGCTTTGTAAAGAGGGTTCAATTCCATCTCAATGTCCTCTTCGAGGCTCGGTGAGAGCCCGAAGGCCGAGTCATCCGCCGTGATCGAGCCACCGTGCCCCGAATCAGGAACGCCATTTTGGTCCTCAACTGGAGAAACTTTGAGAAGTGGTGTAGCGACCGCTAGCGGTGAGACGGAGCGCAGTGCGACGTTTGGCGCGGTTTCGTCTTCATATTCACCATGGTAACCGCTAGAATTGAAAACCCAGCCTCCGCCGATTGGTGTGCCGCCATCTGCGTGGTCTCTGCCGCGTGCTAATGAGTTCCTCTGCTCCACTTTCTCATATTTTGAACTGAAGTCTCTGTGCAAAAAAAGGATATGGAAGAACAGAATAAAAGAAAATAAGAAGAATTAGATTAACATTTTGGCATGATGTGAGAACATTAGACTAATAGTTAAAATAGAATTAGACAGACTTCAAAAGGAGAAAGTCAATTAATCTCTTAGTTTAATGGCAGAGAGTATCAATAGTATAATGACAGGAATATCATTACATGCATCTGCGTCAGGTCTTTTACGTCTGAAGTAAAATAGAATTTAAATGAATACAATGTAACAGATATGTTACATGGAGAAGAAGGAGAAGAAGAAGAAGAAGAAGAAGAAGAAGAAGAAGAAGAAGGAGGAGGAGGAGGAGGAGGAGGAGGAGAAGAAGAAGAAGGAGACGAAGCAGAAGAAGGAGAAGAAGAAGAAGAAGAAGAAGAAGAAGAAGAAGAAGAAGAAGCAGAAGAAGGAGAAGGAGAAGAAGAAGAAGAAGAAGAAGAAGAAGAAGAAGAAGAAGAAGAAGGAAGAAGAGAAGAAGCAGAAGAAGCAGAAGAAGAAGAAGAAGAAGAAGAAGAAGAAGAAGAAGAAGAAGAAGAAGAAGAAGAAAAAAGAAGAAGAAGAAGAAGAAGAAGAAGAAGAAGAAGAAGAAGAAGAAGAAGAACACATACTTCTTTTTGAATTCGTAGTATCGTGCATTTCTCTTTCGTTGTCGTCGTCTATGACAGCATGCGACGATGATGAAGACTAAGATGAGGAGAACGAGACACGAGCCCGCTGTTGCACCAGCGATGATGATCAGGCGAAGGAATGATTCTGAAGAAGATCAAAAATGAAAAACGAAGTTTTATTACCATCTGTCCCAGAATAGATCAAAAATGTACCTCAAGAATGAGTGGCCTATTCTCAAAGGGAAAAATAATAATGATGACGAATATGTTAAATTCCCGTATGCCTACAATGGATATGATGAGAGAAATTATGTTCATGAAATATACAACAATTGGATGGCGAGATATAACATCTCTTGTAGAAAGCTTCTTGAAATTTTTTTTTTTAAGATTGTGTTACTAACAAAGGAAAGGGTTTGTTCGTGTGATAATTTCGAGTCGTACCTAAGGACATCCCGAAAATTTGTTGTCGAAGTTCTTTTTAAAAAGGAAGGCGACTCTCTTATCACAATATTAAAACTATATGTAAACAAAATATTCATTTCTAGCCCTCCGTCTGCAGGGTAAAACACTTATTACATCCCCCCCCCCCCCCATTACAAAATACCTGACCGTTACATTTACCTTATACAGTTAACAACTAAATTATTCATACCCTAACCAAATTTTGTATATTTAAAAAATATGTGAACATTTGAGTTGTTCCGATTGATTTTCCCTGAGAATGTCCCTAACTCAACCAGTCTACTTCCCATTCTTCAGGCGCGAAAAAGAAAAATATTTATATATTTATATTACCAGGGGTATGAATAATGCAGTTGTTAGCTGTAGTTTCATGGTATAGCATTCACCTTTAGAGCTCAATACCCATGATACCAGTTTTCCCTTTAAATCAAAACGCTCTATTTTTCCATGCGACCTTACTGCACTTGACAGTATTTTGATGACCTCTTGACCCCGCTTGTCAAGTTCACCTTCCTAGTTAACGTCCCAAGGTTAGTCTGACTACCAGCCGTCAAACTTTAACAACTAAATATAGGTGACATGACATACGGTATGTTGATATTTATATAGCGCATCACTTGTGTCTTTTTAAAACAAATACAAACATACATGAAAACATTCGAATATAGCAATCCTATGTGTATCCGGAATATCTCAGGAGAAAGCGATGCAGCTACAAACGTACACTGTGGGACAGACTACGATTTATGCATATAATTGGAGGATTGCATGCACTCCGACTTTAGCCCTCTTTTTTCGACTTTATTGTGTTTTTGTTGTTGGATGTTTGAGCATAACATCATTTCTTAGATGTAGTCACTGTTTTCATCAACTACACGAAGGGGGTATCTTCAAAAACAGCATGGTATGCAATAGACCGGTTTACTAGCATATTCAAATGTTTGGATGTTTCTTTCCTGCATGCATGGGGACTTAGTGACGAGTTAATCTATTAAACCTATCATCAATGAATGAACTACAATACTTGGAATCCAGTCTGCATACTTTACTTGATGTTATGTCGGGATAGCCTCAGATAATCTTTCTGGTTGCCAAGAACAACCTTTGTTTAAACAGTATGCGTAACATATGAATATGCTAGTAGCTAGACCGGTCCATTTCCTCTGAAAATAAATTATTATGCATCACCAACAAAAATTAAAACAATTTCGGGGGCTACTTTTCAAGCTTGCTTGCATGAAAATAACACTTTTTAATATGTTTTGCATTGAACTCTATGCACATTTTTTTAATTTTTTTATTTATATATATATTTTTTTTATTTTATTTTATTATTATTATTTATTTTATTTTTTATTTATTTTTTTTTTGGGGGGGGGAGCTCTTTTATGACTTTCGGGGGCTAAGTCTCCTCCGAGCCCCCGTGTATTTCCCCCCTAGTAATGTATTAAGTTGATATGTTATGTGTAAAGTAGATTTGAGTGAGAAAAATGAACGTGAACTCGAACTTGAACTTTCGCGATACTAAATGGATCCCAGGTAATACGTTGCCCCCGATAAACATTACGTAAAATGAAGATAGGTTATAGAAGGTTTGACCATTAGACTGACCCCTTAGCATTCCATAGAGATTTGCTTACTCCGGTGATATTTTGACGACTGCAATCAAAGATGAGTGTTATCGAAATTGATCTGATGTTGCTGTTACAAGTTCACAACAGTACTCGTCATCAGCTTAACGCGTTAGAAATATTATCAATGCATTTATACCAATGGGATGCTATCGTTAGACAAAGCTCACTAAAAAGATTAAGACAGATTCTTGAAAGGGAGTCCACGCTGATATCAAGTTGATTTTAGGAGTGGAAATATGAGAAAAAAGGGTTCGTGAAAGTTTGAGCAAAAAACAATTGAAAATTTCTTATATTTTTAATAAATTGCGATCAATCAAACATAATGGGCAACTCTGTGACGTATCTTGCGAGCTCCTCTCCCATTTATCAGGTATCAAATACAAATTCAAACAAATATATATTTTCTCTAAAGAGAATTTCCCTTCACCCTAAATATAATTATTGCAAATATGTTTTCAAACTTAAACCAAGATAATATCAAGATGGACTTCCCTTTCAACGCTTTTAATGATTTAAACTGTATTCAACAGTGTTAAGTTAAAGGAGATGATGACTGACAACTAAATATGTTGTAGATAAAAATGTCAAATAAATATATACAGAGAAAGAACAACAGGATACGCTACTTGCCTACTAGTATTACATATCAATACATTCATTACAATTCCTTATCAACATCGGATTCAATCTCAGAAGCAATTTCCTTTCTTCCCTAAACACCCGGCCCTGTTATTGCAATTTGTTGACCCTCCTTTTATATTGCTAAGCCAATCTCTTGGCAGTTTATCATCTCGACCAAATATTGGTTTATGGCAGACGCCGTTAGAACCAGCGTCACGGCACTCTTCCCACCTTAAATGCGCAATAAATCATAAACGGAATTGTAAAGACTCTCAGAGATCAAAGATGTGTTATGTGGATGGGATGGCGCATCTAGACCAGGGCACCGGGGGGGGGGGGGGGGGGGGGGGGGGGGTAAAAACATAGTTGAAGTGACCCATATAGTGCAGTATTGGAAACGGCATTTTAGGAGCCCATCTCTGCTTTGCAGCATGGGGGTATCGTCCCCTAGTGATCTTCTTTTTTGTTTGCAGGGGGGGGGGGGGGGTCTTCCGCGGATGTGCCTATATTTCATGCAGTTCCATATGCATCTCACATTTGACTTACGATTGATTCTCTAACCTCGCTTCCAACTACATGAAGATACAACGGGGTTTATCTTTTATTTTTCTTAGTCGGAAATCTTTCGGGAGGGGCAAATTACCCCCCTTGTCCCTTTACCCCTTCTATTGGGCAAATGTATTGAGGTCTGCTATAGCCATCATACATTGGTGTATTTTTGGCGACTGGATCAGCTGTCACATTGGGCATAGCGCAGATTCCATACATCATAATTCTCTACGCATACCCCCACCACCAGAGCCCGGCCCGGGTGCACATCCGCCCGGTTTGTATTTCACCTTGGCAGGCGAGAAGGGAGTTTAATTGGTTGCCAAGTTGATGTGAAGGTGCTATGTAGGTGAATGGAGCTTTGAATGAATAATTGTGAGATGCTTTTTTTACTCAAATTGACAGAAGCTGAAAGGATGAGGGGGGGGGGGGGGCTGATAAAATTAATTTTGTTTCAAAGTATAAAAAAAAGAGAGTGGGATGTAGAAGGATAAAAGTATGTAGGTGAATGGAGATTTGAATGAATATTTTGTGAGATGCTTTTTTACTCAAATTGACAGCAGGTGAAAGAATGAGGGGGGGGGGGGGGTGATAATAGTTATTTTGTTTCAAAGTACAAAGAAAGAGAGTGGGTTGGAGAAGGATAAAAGGGGGTATTGATATTGGAGTAGAGATGGAGAACAGATAATAGACTTATAGAGGGGTAGACAGAGACAGAAAGAGAGGGTAGTGGAGGAGACGAAGGAACGTATAGAGAGAGAGAGAGAGAGAGGGGCGAGAGAGAGAGAGAGAGAGAGAGAGAGAGGGGAGAGAGAGAGAGAGAGAGAGAGAGTAGGAGAGAGGGAGAAGGTTGGGGTTAGAATGTTCTTCAAAGCCTAAACTCGAAACAATGCAATCCGATTTGCTTTTTCTTTCACTAAGCTAATCGAGTTGATACTTCATCAATGACACAATGTAAGCCTAGTTGATGACATGGGGCCATCTATTAAGGGTAATCATATGTGTTAGACAGAGAAATGTAAAGGGTGAGATAGGGTTGGGGGAAAGACGGGTACAGAAACATGAGAAATGAATACAGAAAGGATGTTGCACATGTAAGAGAGCGAGAAAGGATGTAAAGAAAGCGAGAAAGGATAAGAGAGCGAGAAAGGACAAAGGAGATGGGATGGGAAGAGGGGGAAGGGAAAGAGGGGGGGGGGGGGAGTTTGATGAGAGATGATGACAAGAAGGTATTTCATTGATTATATATTTGGTTTGGTCTGAGCCATCCTCAGTCTGTGTTATGACATGTTGGCATCCGATGCAAACACGGTACCCACCCCTGTGATGTACAGAGATAAAGGATGACGATGTATTGTCCATCAAATAATATCTATATCTGCATTATTACATTCACATTTATGATACCTACACCTACTATACGAGCATAAAGAGAGTGAGTGCCAGAGAGAGGGGGAAGAGGATTGAGAAGAAGAAGAATAAGTAGAAGAAACAGAACAAGGAGAAGAAGAATAAAAGAAGAAAAAGAACAAGGAGAAGAAGAAGAAAAGAAGAAAAAGAACAAGAAGAACAAGAAAAGGAGAGGAAGAAGAATGAGAACAAGAAGAGGAGAGGAAGAAGAATGAGAACAAGAAGAGGAGAGGAAGAAGAATGAGAATAAGAAGAGGAGAGGAAGAAGAAGAATGGGAAGAAAGAGATAGAGAGAGAGAGAGAGGGAGAGAAAGAGAAAGAGAAAGAGGGGTGGGTGGCAGTGATTGGGAGGGGGTGTGAGCATGGGAGTGGGGTGTAGAGATACGGGGAAAAATGAGGGGGCAAAGAACATTATTTACCGGGATGGAATATTTCATAGATGATAGGCCAATGCCTACTACAGTTGCTATTATTGATTCATTTTAATTGAAAACATACTCACATTCGTGAAACTAAATATCAAAATGGAAATAATAACAGCAAATCGAGTTCATGAGGGCATTAGAACCCCGGTCCCGCACGAAAACAGGAAAAGGAAGAGGATTGAATAAGCACGTTTATTTATGTACATATAATAATAAAATAATGAAAGCGGTGAAAGGAAAAATGTCGAAATATCGAAATATCGAAAATAGCCAGCTTACCTGTGAAAATGCCCTCATCATCGCTAACTGCCGTAATGACGTCTTCATAAGTTGGATTAATACCGTCAGTGACTGGTTCGTATGTAACCAAATCATCTGTAGCCGTCGTCATTGACATCGTTTCGTTGTTCGTTACGCCCATACTGCTTAACGAAGTCGGCTGAATAGTTTCCATCGCATCTGATGAATTTAAAATCGACGGTGCAGATGATATCGATGTCGTTAAGTCTTTTTCGACGATGGACGTCGAGATCAGCGATGTCGCATCGGATTCGTCGATCAGGGGTCCCGTCGTTGGAAGATCTGTGCTGAGACTTTGCGGAGTGTTGGAATCGTTTTGTGCTTGATTTGTTGATAATTCCGTAAAAGGTACTTCTGTAGAGATGTTCAAGTTTGCAGTATCAGTTTGTGGCAACGCTGAAGCAGACGACGATGTCGCAGGCGCAGTCGTGTTGGTTGACGATGGAGGTTCTTGTGATGGCGGTGGCGTCAATGTGGAAAGTACAGTCACGATAACAGTTGATATCGACGTGAACGATACTGGTGGTTGCGTTACACCGTCTGCTGTAGTAAGGTCTGTGCGTAGGCCCACACCGCCGTCTGCGAATGGGACTGATGATTGTGCGTAGCTTGATGACGAAATCACTGCAGAAATGAAATAACCAAAAGATAAAGCAAAACAAGTTATTAATATGCTGAGTGATATAATAAATTGGCAACATCGCTTTGAAAACATCGTTTCAGCACTTTTTATAAGACAAAGCACACTTAGAAACTAAAAATCTACACAAGACATCAGCTTTACGTAAAGATAACCATGATAACTAGCAACTTCTTTCTGTTTGCCATGAGCACATTGTGAATGCACTTCTGCTATAATCTTTTTTTTCTGCACTGACTTTAATGGCCTCTCCTCAACATGTCAAGTTCTGCTTCTGAGACAAAAGAGATCGAGCAAGACGACATATTTTATCCATGTCGATTGTCAAATGCAGGCAGGCTAACTTGAGAACTTGACACTTTAGCTTATTGTTTTTATCATCACCTTCAAGGCAAAATCTCTCTCGAAGTCAAACCCTTTTCTCCGTCAACATCCAATTTTCTCCACGAATTGGAAAGCTGAGGTAAGGTTTCAGCTGAACTGATCTGCAGGAATAATCTCCTCTACCACCCGCAAGTAAACTCAACTTGACCGATGACCGCTACCGTGTAAATATCCCCTTTAGGGGTAGATCTGTCGTCGCCCGGTTACCATGGAAACCAGCAACAAAACGGGTTAAGGTCGCCTGTCAAATAGTTCACGAAGTATGTCGATGAGCCAGACATTTCAGCATACCTCACAACTCCATAGGTTTACACAGGGTAGTATTTGTAAACGTAGTGCATTTTGTGAGGTATTGTCTTGCTTTGAATTTGATAGGAGCTCAGGCGAATTAGGAAATATTAAGATATGGGGTAATTTAACTTACGCAAGGAGAGACTGTTTTAGAGTTTAAACTTCAGAAACAGAGCGCACAAGCACAACGGCATTGAGAAGTTTAAAAAGGTTCCACTAAATAAGAACTAAACATGTATTTTTATTACTGTAATACGCACCTGTCGCATACGTATTAGACACCTTGACATGAATTGTTTTCAGCCTTTTAAATGCTCTTAACAGATTTTCTTTTCTTTTCTGTATGTTATTATTTGGTTTTGGTGAAAGGGGGAGGGGGTCTCGGATGGGGATTCTACATGAATTCAATCAAGCAACGATTCCTTCATTCAAACCATCCCGTCTGAGAGGGGGATGAATATTATTTAATATGTCTATATTTCTTCACTTTGCTAAGCGCTCTTCAGGCACAGTACATCGGCAATGAATACAATTTGCCCCTGAACACTCTCCCCGAGAAATTACTCCCTAGTACAACTGACCCCAGATACAATGATGCCTCGGGAGGAGGATTTTTTTGTTTAACCTTTTTTCATGAAATGTTTGTAACTATATATAAGATATATTCTTGATAGATAAAGTTTACATCTTCTCAGAGCTTTATTGATGTATCTCACTGAGATTGATAAAAAAAAGTTGAGAAGATGTAAACTTTTCCCATCAAGAATTAATTATATATATTACAATCATTTCGAGGTACAAAATACAATTCTAACTTTATACGCAACAGTTTATATGGGGTTAGTTGTTTTAGGGAGTAATTTTCAGGGACAGGGGTTAGGGCCAATTTTTATTTATTGTGACGTCAAAATGAGTAAAAATTATGGAGAATAAATCTTATCCTCACAATATTTTCATGAAAAGAGTTAAAATTATCTCAACGCCATTGTAGGTACCCCTGGACAACCACCCATCCTATGATTACAACTAGGCGACATCCCCCAGACAATTCCCCCAGACTATAGGCTAATAGGGGAAAATAATAAAATCTGGTATGAACGCTATCCAAACGTTCCACAAACAATCCTTGAGTTTTTATCGAAACTGACAACATCGTTTTTCGATTCGTGTTCAGCGACGAAATTCACAAATTGGTGTTAGTTTTCCGTATCTACATGTTTGTTTTTTCTACTTGCATGTTCTTTTTCCTTCGGTCGGCTGTTTATTCTCCTGGGAAATATTCTGCTCAAGGGAATGGAAAAAAAAAATAAAGAAATGAACTTGGAGAAAGGAATTTCCCATTAAAATCAGCGAACGAAGAGAAGATAGAATGACGAGGGTTAGACATTAGTGTGATGAAAACTTGCGCTCGAGCGCGATATTTAAAAAAAAAAAAAAAAAAAAATGAAATTGGTAATATACAGTTTACAATGCACATCGAATCCCGTCACATACACTGTTTCACATTCCTTACGTCATTATCATAATTACTAAATATTACGTTAAGAAGATTGTTTAGGGTTCTGTTTACTACCCAAATAGTCGATACTAAGATTATTTTTAAGATATGAATGTGTTAGCAAATAAAATAATACCAAGCTGAAAGAACTGTTGAATATACTTTAATTTTTTGGCCTATGTTATATTTAACTCAATCATTGAGTTATTAATGTAAATATGTATTGAAATTATTGAAATAAAAACCTCGCTTGAGGATAAGAAGAAAAAAAATCATAATTACTCAGTATTTTTAATTGACATGAAATAATGTCATTCATAATCATTATACAATAAGCGTTGTTAACGGTGTTGGCTATTCAGCTAAGTTATGCTCACAACGCTTTGGTTCATTTTCTTTAATATTTCATGAAAAATTTAATATTATATTCCCTATCATTGTCTAAAGCTTAAGTTGATGAGACGTGGTCAATGACTTTTGAAGTCATTTTACCGGACGTACATGTATCAAATAACTTCCGGTTCATCTCAAATGTTCCTTCCGCCCTTTAGAAGGTGTCTTTAAATATGAAAGAAATGAGGAAAACAAGTGGGATTCCCCGCCCAGGCACTCCACATGAAGGATTCAACTATATCCTTCGCCTTTATTTCCTCGAAGAAGTCATGATAGTAATATCATAGGTCGTTTCGACTCTTTAGAGAAGGAAATCACGTCACTTAACAATAATCAATAAGTTAATGGTTAACACTTTGTAAAATGATAGTTGTGATAGCCGTTGTGCACAGACGAATGCGTTCCCCCCTTAATGGCAAGGGGATATCATAATCATTATCTCCTTATTGCATAGACAGTCATGTCTAGTATATAGTTAACAAAATAACATAAGGAGGACGGTTTTCTTGATATCATGACACCCCCCCCCCTTCCCTTTAGTAAGATTCGCTGTCTATATGCTAGTGGTGAACAATCAATAGATATATTCCAAACACAAAAAGAAGAGTGAGGGGTGTGAAGAATTTGTTTCTTCTACCACGTCATTAGGCATGTTCTTATGAAAATGTTCTAAATTTCATTTGCGCTATGACACTTGTAAAATGCATCAAAATGTGCTCACTCAAATATCTGTGTTTCGTGTCCCCATATGCAGGAACAAATACATAAAGGGAATTCAAAGATACATATATCTACCCTCGCATTCCTATACGAGTTGGTGAGGTCACTGTTCTACTATAGACCCCCCCCCCCCCCGAAGCCAACATGACGACTGAGAGGTACAGTAATGTGATGCGTGTTATCTATCCGACTAATGAGTAGAATGCACATATCTCATGATGACCTCATCACCGTAGATGGTATGAGAAGACACAGTAAATGGTGCGAGGAGACTCAGCTGGAGACGAGGATGCTCACAAGACGACGCCCTGAAACAAAGTCGAGATGATAAGAGCCACTCAGTTTGCATTACATCCAAAGTATTCAAAATAAAACAGTTTCTGTAAACTTATCCACAACCTATAAGTGGGAAAATATTAGTATAGGTGTAGTTAACTAGGTCATCGCAGTGGGCCTTGATGGGTGTTCGTTTCTTCCTGTGCACTTGACTTGTATCGCACTTGTTTCGGGTACTTTAATCTAAAACTGGTCCATTGTATTGGTTTTCCAAATCACTAATACAAAAACAAGATGTACAGAGTAGAAAAGTAAACATATTATCAAGGATATTGTGCGCGGCTAAATAGCCCACTCAATTACACGTGTATTTGTTAACATGACTACTTTCCTTGGAGTCCAGATAATTAGAATGAAAAGTGAAAGTAACTACAGAGCTACATACATTTAGAAGGAAAAGAAACACCGAGACGCACAGTTACACCAACCCCCCCCCCCCCCCTGAGGTTGTTCAACCTTGGTGGGTGTATGTCGCAACCTTTGTCAGGTAAATTGTTTCCTGGTATTTTCAATAAATTCCCTAGTATCTCTCAGTATTATTGCACTCACTTGACTGTCATTCTCACGCAACACGTTTGCAAAGTACTACCATACTATCCAAAGAAATCAGATTGAAAAAGAAGAAGAATATAGCCATGTCAACGACTTGCAGGTCAAAACGATTTCCAATTCACTATAAAACCAAGGAGGTGATAGACACTAATAATAAAAAATTAAAGGTCTTTCAAACTTTCAAAGAAAATTGGTGACTCTTCGCAGACGGCACATATCAGTTTACCGTGTGTTATACCTGCTCACCGTCCCGTGTAACATGCAGTCCTCAAAATCTACGGAATTCATGGTATTTCATCTAAATACGATTTCATGGTATTTCACCTAAATAGTATATATTTACAATGATGAGTATAAAAGCAAAATATGTCATTGAAAAGGGAGAGAATAGAATCGTGTAACGCAAGGCCTGACTGGCCTCCTGATGAAAGACTTGTGTCTGATTGGCAATAGGATTTTCCGGAAGAGCGCCTGCGTGTGCCCTGATAATCGCAGAAAAGGAAAGGAAGACATTGAAAGAAAAAAAATCATGTATTTCCGAAATATATATACAATATATTTCCTGACTATATACATCAGAAGACATCGCAAAAGTAAATCAACCAGATCATTGTGAATATTGACGCTTTCAAAATAACACGTGTCGATGCCAATAGCTTCTTTTACAAATTATCGGTCTAACATGTAATAGTTGATTCATAAAAAAAGTCTCATTCAAACTCTACGTTAAACTAGCTACTTTTTATCATTACAAGGGTTTTGCTTATGGCATAAAATTTATCAGAAGCGTTCGGATAGCTATATTTTCTA